GCAATCCCAGACTACTATCGGTCACCAGAGAATCAATTGGAAATATGAACTAAACAGAAATCACTGCATATAAAGAGATATTAAATGCATGACTTCTTGTGTAGCACTGCAATTGTAATATGCAGGAAAAAAAACAAACATTTTAAGGCAATGGAAGTTCTGAAATGAGATGAATCAAGAGTGAATAGATACATACACCAGTTCTGCCTTCCGAAGACAATTTTAAATATAGAAGTAAAAGGAGTACATTCTATGGTTAATAAATAAATAAATAAATTATTAATATTAATTAACATGGTTGGGCAGGTGCAAAAAGCACCGTTAAGAACAGGATTTTCTAAAAACCAATTTGTATTTTTCTTGGAAAAGCATACATTCAATGGCAGAATTACAATGCAAATATTTGGTCATAAGTATTCTACACTTACTCTGGCAGGGAAAATACTTCTAAAGAGAAAAAAGGAGTGATAAAACTACTGTAAAAGATGATGCAACATGACCCTTTAATACGCGTTTGATTGAAAAGAAGCTTGTAATGCCTCAAGATAAGGACAGATTTCACTGTATTTAATATCCCTGTTACTGTTACACATTATGTTTTACATAAAAGTTGGTGTAAAATGTTACCAGTAATATGCTGAATTTGGCTAAGAGTGAGACAGTTGCTAAGATGTTAGCAAAAGGAAGCGTGATACTGAGAAGCGTAATGGTATGACTGCAGCATTCTGTAACACGTTCATTCCCTCAGCAGTAAAGTAAGATTTCAGTCCCATTTTCAAAGTCAATGACAATCTTCCCTTTTTTTCATTCTCAAGTGGACAGCATGCTACACAGTCCTGTTGCACTGTCACTAATGTATCACCCCTCCCATCTCTGCTTGCTGATGAGCCTTTAATACCATTTAAAGGCTGATGAACATTTAAAACCACAAGAGAAGCTGAGAAAATTCCTCTCTCAAACTTTTTTCTCCTTTTTCCTAATTAAAATCAGTTTCTCAAGCATCTAATACCAAATACCATCTCTAACCTTTAAGTGTTATCTACACTAATATGTTACTAGATCTGGGACCGCACATTTGTCTCTATCCAAATGCAAGTTCTTCAAATAAGCCCAACTAACCAAGCAATTTAACAATTAGTGATCTATTCCTACTATTACAGTACTGTTATGTAATTAAATATAGAATTTTACACGTTTATTTTGAGCCATATAGTATTTCTAAGAGCTAGCAAAGACAATGACTAAAAAGCCCCCATTATTCAGCCTTAAAGGAATCCTCTTAAGGGCATGAAATTTCCCTGTTGAGTAACGTTGTTTTTGTTCATTAACCAATTTCAACACAGCTAATATCAATTACAACAAATATCTTTAGGAAAGATCAAGCTGATCAAAAAGTTGGTATGAGCATCACTGGGATAATTTCAAGTGCATCACTCTATAATTGGCAAGGCATTTCTTTTTTCTCAGCCATTTTAGACTCAGATTTACTTCAACATTTCTTTAAAAACAGAACAAGACACCAAAAAAAAAAAACCAAAAAAACAAACAGCCACAACTGAGTGTAAAAGCAACTGACAGGTTCTGTCAGTTTCTGAAGAGTTTCTTAGCTACCATTTAATAACCAAATTGTAAACACAATAGAATACTGCAATACGTGTAATATGATTACATCATACTATATAAAAAAGAAACCACTGAATGTTTCTATATATAAGTAATCCTGACATTTATCTACATTTGACAAAACTTTTTTTGTTTTTAATCTTCTCCTATTTGTACTTGAAGCTGACAGCTACCAGAACAGAGTCAAAAAAAAAAAAAAAAACAGATCAAAGGAAACAGATTTACAGAACCAAGAATTGGCCACCAAGTAGATCTGAACGTGCTATCAGAAAAATTGAATTCCCACATCGATGCAGGTTTTTGTCTTTATGATCTTCATTTGGTATTACATATGCTGCATACACATTTAGATGCATGACAGACAATGACATTTAGCTACAACAGGTTAAAATCATTCAACCGGTCAAACTCTAAAAATTACAAAACATATTTCTGATTAAAGAAACGGACACGTAAGCTTTCACTATATTAACATTCTCAACCTGCATCTCCCAGTTACTGACATATTACCAGTACAAGCTATATGAAGTTATTCAGTTATTTGGGTTAATTAAATGCCTCTCAATTCCAAAATAAGAATAAGTTATTATTTCATACATATGCTTATTTCAAGTAGCAAGTTCATATTTGTTCACCTCTTGGTTTATTCTTGCCTATTTCCTCTGATCTTACCTCCTTAAATCCTCAATATTTAAGTCTTAGTTTGGTGTAAAAGATTATATCATTTATAAAGTCTGAAGTTAGATTATCAATGATACTTGAAATTTGATTTTTCAGGCACTATAAAAATACTAATTTGTAGCCAAATAATATCCATCAGAATAACTTCTCATATTCCCATTCAATGTTTAAGATCTGGAATATTTAATTTAAATTCAGGTCAATTCATGACGTAAAGTTACTTAGACCATTAGAGGAAAAGGTTTCATCCAAAAAATAAAAATCCAAAACTCATTGTAATACACGGAAAGATTATATGCTGCTTCTGCAAACAAGAAAGATACTGGACTGAAACTTTAGAAACACACAGGGATGGTTCAGCTTTGATCTTGGTAAGAAGAACTAAATAAGCAACATACTCCTTTGGAAAGATATTTTTCTTTTCCATTGGGGATCACATGTTGATACATTTTGACCCGTAGAAATAAAAAATACCTATTCAAGATTTCAGGTGCCCATTCAATGAATTGAAAACTCAACACATACAAGCCTTTTTCAGGGAGTATTTATCTTCAAAAGCCTCTCATAGACAAAAAACAACTTCCAGCATTTCCAATCAAGGATCAAAATGTCTTTCAGAATATGAAAAATTCACCATTCAGCAAAAAGGAGTTTCATGCAGTTCTAAACCTCAGTGTTCCTTCAGTTAGGAAAGAAGGACTGATTCTCTAACAGAGGAACAATTGCCACCATCACCAACAAACCAAGGCAGCGTGAGCACAGCACAAACTCTACTACAGAAACTAAATATCAACAAGTAAAATATCAACAATAACACATACATCCAGGCTCAAACTAAAAACAAATATAGATCACCCTTTTAATTTTACAGCGCTTTGTAACATCAACTACACAAGCAAACCAAATGGGTACACAGAAAAATATGTAAAAAGACACAGAGCAATTACTGTATTATGAATTTGTAGGGCAGCACGTTCAAGGGATCAGCAAATTCTGAAAATAAATGGTTTGCACGATCCTTATAAGTTGATACATATTTACAGGTTTTACATATAGGGAGGAAGAGAGACTATTACAGATGTTGCCTGCTAAGAGATTTTCAAAACTTATTTTCTATCATTGTTTCTATTCAGTGCTGGAAGGTCACTCCCTACTCGCAGCAAAGACCAGGAAAAATTTGGCAAGATTACCCAGTTTTAGTCCAACACTGTCACAAAAGCTGTACTCTGTTCTATTCAAAAATGACGTCGGCTATTTCTGGCCTAATAACTTTGACACAGCCCTTCCACAAGTTGGACAGATTGACTGACTTTCTGCAGCCTGAATGGTCAGGTTATGCTCTCACACTCATTGTTACCACCTGCATGTTCTTGTTTCTTCCTTTGCATTGTTTTAACACTTTCTGAACTCTTATCTGAGTTAATCCAACCCACTGACACACCTTTTTGCTATATTTCTGACATAAATCAATTCACAAATGGTTTCAACATAGTCAGAAATAGAACAAAGTGAAGTGAGAGCAGTGTTCAGGAAATACAGCCAATGTCTTCCAACTGCAGGCTAACAACGGCCAACCCAATTTGAGGAAACCTATCTCCATATTCTTGTTCTATTTTGGCCAAGAGATCCTCAAAAATTCTTTTTTTGTTGTTTTTTAGGTTGTTTTTGTTTTTTAAATCATCCATCAAATCCTTAAGTAACCTTCAAGAGTTAATTCCATATAAATAGATCACAATAATTCAGACTACTTTAGCTGTCTTCAGATAACTTCACAATCATTACTGAAATTGTGTGAACAGTAAAAGCATCTCATCTGCAACAAACTTGCTCTGAGATGGTTGTGAAACTCAGTCTTGAAAGTTCAGGAAGCTGTTAAAATCTTCTTATGCTTACCATAACCACTAATGATCATAAGAGTCTTTCCTATAGTTGCATCAAACAAGAATAATGTCATAGCAGGCTTGGGTTCTAGATTCGCACCTGAATTCACATTTCAGTGAAGTTCATTTCACTCTATAATCAGTATTTAAAAAGAAGATTTTAAGATATATTTATTAGTATTCATTTATTTAAATGCATGTTACAGCTCATGAATAGACCTTCAAAAGCATATGAGCATGTAACATTACATTTTTAATATGTCACTATTTGAGAAAACATAGCCCTGGATTTAGAATATCCCAAAGCACACAATTATTTCCAGCTGCAATTATGTAGTTCTCACAGTTCTGACAGAGAAACCTGGGAGAATCACATGCGTTGTATAACTTCTACAGAAGTACTGCTTATCTTTGACAAATGCAGTATCTGCAATTCAGAGAAGATGAAAGGACCTAAGAATAGAGATGAAGGATTTTTACACAGAAGAGAGAATACACAATGTATCCATAAAACAATCACTTTCTAGAGGAGATAGGGAAAGAAAAGGAAGGTGAAACAGGTGTTCGACTGACTCAGTTTTGTCAACACTCTGACATTAAAGAAAAAGGCATTCTTCAAACTGAATCCACAAAACATCTAGCAAAGGACCCGACCTCTGTGCTGCAAAGTTTGCCTTCTCCAGATGACACTGATTTGCCATTAGAAGGGCAGTTTTCAGTTGTTACTTAAGAAGCACAGTTCCTCATCTAGCTTCATCACATTAGCCATAGTCTTGGTGACAGCAATATCACAGAAATAAAGAAGTATCTACTTACCAACAATAATTCCTGTTCAAGTTAATACTTTCCAGGACTCTTCTTCCTCACTTTCATTTTGAAGCCTAGTTAATTCTCTGAAAACAGAGGAGGAAAAGAAGATTGTTAATTTTTACCCTTTTTCTTTTTAAATCTTTATATGTGTTTTCATCCTTTATCCACTACATACAGTCAAGAGATGCGTGTAAACATCCATATTTTTAAAAAGTTGCTCTGTTTTATGATTAGACAACTGACATGTCTCGTAACTCCCATGAAAACAGAAATCAATAGACATAAATAATCTTTCTTGATACTGCAATTTGAAAAAAATAGCAATGCCTGCTTCACTCCCATCCTCCCCTCACCCCCCCCAAAAAAAAAAAAAAAAAAATAGGCTTTCAAGGCAGCTGGGAAACAAACTCAGGATGTGAGGGGAAAAGAAAGCAGCAGAGTAATTCTTTGTATATATATAGCCAGGCCTGGGTGGGGGAGGGAAAGAACTGTAAAAAATTATAGCCCAAGGATTCTAAAACAGTCTCAGATGGCAAACGTAAAATAAACTACTCAAACTAAAATATTTGCTACAAAGGCAAAAATAGGATCTACCTTTAAACAACATATGAGAAAATTAAACTGGTCTGTTTATATTTTTACATAACATGCATAGCAGAGTGTACATACTAAGGAAGTAATTGTCTTCAATGAAATCTTACTTTTGAGTTATCAAGGTGTATGGAACTGCTGAATCACAGCCTGAACCTCTGATTGATCACCTGAGGCGAGCAATGAGTCAGCCAGAGGAGCACAGGTGAAGGCAATTCAACAATTCACCTGTGCTGCCGGAAGGGGTGGAGCCTGGCTGTGCCTCTCCTAGATCTACTGAAGAGCTGGCTACCGGTGGGAAAGGATCTCTTCTGGAGATCCCTCCTCTGAGTTTTGCAATGAGCCCAGAATATGGGTAAGCATTCTATCTATTTTCTTTTTATTATTATAATCTGCTTTGTCAAACTCTCTTATTTATTTCATAACTATAACAGCTTTATATCCACTGACTATACCCAAGGCATGGAGTTACTGCATCACTTCGTAACTGTGGTCTCATTACCTCAGAACAGCTGCAGATACTGAACTAAGTGTTGCTTGAGACTGTTGAAGAGAAAAAGCATTCAAGAACTGCAAATAGCAGACTTCAAGATAGTATAAATTGGATATTGAAAAAGTTAATTTGTGAGCCTGACTTCAAGGAAAGGGACAAAATTGGGGAAGCTAGTAAAAAAATAAAAAATAAAAAATAAATCAGAAACTAATTAAAGTAACAACAGTGCCAGGAACAGGACTGAAGAGAAAATGATAAGTGCATCTGCTAACTGTCTTTTACTGCAATGAGAATTCTGCCAACCTAATCTTATTTTTGCCGAAAAGTTATTAAGTGACCTTATATTTTGAAAAGAAGTTGAGCAACTATACAGGCAACCCTAAATTAATTTCACAAGTGGTAACATGGAGAAATAATTTTTTTGAGAAGGCCTAATTCTTCAGGGTTGTTTTTTTTCATTCACGTAATAAATTATTTAAAACAAGCTTCATCTATAAGGTCAGAGCCCATGAACTTCCAAAAATGGTATATCTGGGGTGAGATGGCTTATTTTCGTTTCCATTTGAGATGGATGGTTTCAGTATACTTCAGTTAGAGCAGCACTCAGTAAGGCCACACAGCTTCTCCTGTAACAAGGATCTGAGAAATCCAAACGAAAACACGACACTGTTACCATACATAACAGCAAGAACAAAAGGGTGTTTTGTGTGTGTATTTTGTTTGCTTTTAGCTTTCCAGCAAAACCAAGTTATTCCTATTGCATCTCTCATTACAGAATCATAGAGTTACTAGAGCTGGAAAGGACCCTTAAAGGTCACCCACTTAACTTGACTGCAGTGAAGGAGTCATCCAATCAGCTACACTACCTGTTTAATGAAAATGGAGAGCTGAAACTATCACCCAAAGGTCAGCCAGCAAGCCAAGCAAAACTGAGTATGGAGCCCATCTGTACCAAGAGGAAGCCTTATAACGAAGCTAATAGAGCACAGCTCACTGTGATGATTAATTCTAATTTCATGAGGCATCGTGTTTTATCTTCTTAGAAGTTCATATTTACAATTCCAACAACAGGTAAGCAGTACACTGTGTGAGACGTGCGTATGGAAAAATAGACTGAGGCAGATGGGCTCATAGTAAACATGAACTGGCAATGTTAACATCTCATGTAATGAAAAGAATTCTTAGTAAATTCACAAGTTGATTTATCTGCAAGCAACTTAATCAAAGGCAGTACCAAAAGGCCAGAGTCATATGAGGCTGGATCCAAAGTCCAAACAGGTTGTGAATACTGCTAATGTAATTTGAATGGAACTTTAAAAATACACAAAATATGAATGCAAAATAGCAAGAGAAGTGAATTCAAGGATGCCAGCCACATCACAGGTCCCTGCAACTACTGGGTGTTAGACGAAAATATTCATGGCACTCCAGGAACGTGGAGGGGAGAAAAAAATTCCCTTCCCTCCCCATCCCCATATGATGGGGTCAAGCATTTAAATTTGATTACAGATATCAGACCCATACTCCAGGCCAGGACTACTCTCCCACTACTACAGGAAGAATCACCTCACTCAAAATCCCATCTTTGGTCGATGACAAATTGCCTCTGCTTTGGAAGAGAATGAATAAAACAGCACAACATAAATTATGCACCACAAGGGCAATAAATAAATAAGTAACTATTCCCTCCTGTTCCATTCACAGGGAGGCTTACCAACGGAAGCCTTGAAGAACAGATCAGGTAAAAATTGGACTCATTACAACCAACAACAATCAATTCTTTTCTCAGCTTCCCAAGATTTCTGATATTCCAGAACCAATAAATCTCAAATGCTCATCTATAACTTTTGCCTCTGGGTTCAATCTTGTCATCTAATGTAGCCTCTTTACGTAATTGTAGAAAAGATCATATGAAACCACTGCTTTTCATTCTCACCATTACTAAGTTTTCAAGACTAAATTTCATCATCTGATTTTTCCAGAGTTTTGGAACTGAATTTCTCTCTCAGACATATTTATTTTGTGCTCTCTCTCTCTCATGCACTCTCCAACACTCAACAAAGACTGTTCTTATTTTTTCCTAGCTTCACTGGCCAAATTTTCTTTCAAGACATTGAGTTCAACATAAGCATAATCCCAAAAATTCTTTTCTTTCCTGAATTTTTGAGAGACTCAGTATTTTGAGTCTGACTGATCAGTATTACAAACCATGTCCTAAATGCAAATTATTTATTGGCTGGTCCTAACAACTTTTTTTAAAAGCTATAAACCACCTTGTGTGTCTTTGAACCATGTGAGAAGAAAAGAGATAGGGTTGTGTTATGGCCCAGATCCCTCTACCTCTGATTAGCATTCTAGTTATGCCAGGAGTTCTCGTCAGCACTGGAGTATGTAAATCCACTCTATTTTTAAGTTTTTTTTTGTGAAACTTAAACCACTATTTATTGCTCCAAACACATAATCCATCCTCTGCTACTGAGCACTATCATCATTTCTTCCTATTCAGAAGCAAACAGACCAGATTTTTAGCAAAGTCAGTAACTTGCTCATTTCAATGCTGGCTCTACTATTTCAAGTATCTGGCAGGGAAGTGACTAAAATTGAAGTGACAGAAAAAATATTACAGGAAAAGAAACAATTTATTCCAACAAAGTCATTTTTAAAAAATAAACAACAAGAGTTAAAATGCTACAATGAACATTTTTTCATACTTAGTAAATAACCAAAAAATAATTATTCCTTCTGTAAATCAGGTGAAACTCCAAAGCATTTTCAAGTTTAAAGACAAAAGAGAAAGTTAACCTTACGGGGAAGACAAGCAGTTATTTGGCTTCAATAATGCATTTGATTTCTTCCACCCTGCAGTACATCTGCCTGGAGTCAGTGTTAAGCTGCTGATACAAAGCGAGTTTCCTTAAACAAATGTATTAAAAAAGTACAACCCAGGGGAACAGAGTTAAAAATAATCTTTATATGTATAAAATATTTTTTACATGCACTAGTCAAAGATTCCTTACTATTAGCAGCTTAGGAAAAGCTACACCACACTGAATTCATAATATTCAAGGATGAAAGTCCTAACATCTAACTTCTCCAGCATGGCGAATAAAGGCTCTGAGGATTCAGCCATTAGCAGTGACACACAGAGGATTCTTCCTGTGCTCCCCATCGAATAAGATTTACATTACTTGCATTCATTTTTCTATTATCAGGTATCACTTCGCGACTTTGGTCTTGGTTTATACCCTGTTATAAAGTCACTTTCTGATATCAAAACTTTGACACATACCAGTTTCAGCCTACAGAACTGATAGAGAATGGTATATAACTAATGGATTTCATTAGATACAATTAATGGACTTCTTTCACAAACATATCTAAAGGCTGATCTAATAACTATGTTATTGAACAACATCCCACATACAAAAACACTTTCAATCTATTAGTCTGTGAAGAGGCAGGTCACCCCAGATGTACTAAACCAACAGGACATCGAACTGTTTTCCTAAGCTCTCCCTCCACTCCCTTCTCAAGAGGCACTGGCTCAGATATTTGACTCATTTTTCCCTTTTATTTCAAAAACAAATGGCTCTCGCTGACATCACAATATTCCCATAAGGCAGACTTGGGAGTGCCCCCATCTCTGTACTTCTCATTATACAAAGTTTCATGTGTGCTATAATGAAATTTCTACCACATCATACACTTGCATGTGTGATGCAGATCTGGGGAAATTTGGGGAAGACATGGGAAGTGCTGGATTTCTCTTAGCTGCCTGCAAACCTGAAAAGCGTATGCTGCGCTTCAGTTCCCCAGAGTTCCACTTCTTTTCAGCCATGTGAATTGCCATCTGTGCTTCCCAGACTGGTAAGTTAAAAATCTGCTGTCATTTGTGTCACCAATGAGCAAATTAAAGGCAGAGATTTCCCTCTTTAATAAGAATGATAAATGGCAATCTAAATATTGATTCCAAAGTGAGAAGCAGGAGCACCGTTAGTT